AAAATTATCTCCTAATCGTACTCTTGCCATGGGTAGCCCATGAATCGGTTGTCTTTAGCCTATTGTCAAGTAGGCAGTACTTTTCTTTCATGTTAAGGGGAACAGTCCATCAAAATCTAATAGCTGCCCATTGGTCAAATAATGGATGTTTTCATGCCAAAATAAAAATATTGGCCCGACATTTCCACGACTGTTCGTGTGCTCCCAGATTAATATTTTGTCTTTGCATTCCTCGTCTCGTACATATTCGTGTAGTATCGGGCCACTGCAAAATCGCCCCAGGGAGGCCAGATCCGTATCGGGTCTCGTATTGGTTTGCAAAATTTGTTTTCACAAATCCCAATCACCTTTTTATCTTCCCAATCACCTTTTTATCTCACATACATCACATCACAAAAAGTGCTACAGTAAATATCTCAAATAAATCATCCAAATAAACTCTTATCCAAACAATTGTTTTCCAGTCATCTCAAGAACTTGACGATTCATGTGGATCCCTATCACGACTGATGGCTGTGCTTTTCTTTTTTCTTGTATTTTTTTTCCCTTTTGAGTAGGCTGTCAACGGGCCGGAATTCATTATTCCAGACCCGAATCCGACGCACTATATCGGATCCGACCCGTTTATCCGACGGGTCTTTTTACTTTATGTTCCGGATCCAGATCTGACGGGTCCCATATTCGGATCCGGATTCGGGTCTATCCGAAAAAAACTAACAAAATTTATAATTCCTAGCAAAATGAGAAAAAAACATATATTTATAAACTAATTTCTAACTAATACAAAAAAAATCAAATAAGAAAATAAATCAAATTAACCTCATTCAAATACATCACCCTAATCAAATTATATTGATTAGGATCCAGGTCCAATTATATTGATTACTCAAATACATCATCCTAATCAAATTATATTAATAAATATATATTTTAAATTATTAATCCATTTATATTCGGATCCAGGTCCAATACGGGTCGGAATACTATATTCCGTATCCGACCCGTTTTTTTGTTTGACAAAACGGATCCGGATCCGAGTCCAGATAACGAAACTAAATCCCTACCTATACCCGGATAAATTTGACGGATCCGGGTCTAGGACAGGTGGGACAGCCCTACTTTTGAGGGCGGCAAAATGCCCATTTTATTTTATCATTTTTTTTTTGAGCAAGGTATGGGTTACTTACGTACTTCTAGGACAGGTGGGAGAAATAATGGTTAACTTTTTCATACTGCCTTTTGTCTATCTCTGAGGTTCCATGATCACATTTTATTCTCCGTTATTTTGTTGTTGCTTTTAGTGAAGCTGTCCAGATTTTTATTATTTTTGCACAACCACCATGATGCATTTAATGCTAGGGCAAAAGCAGTATTGATGGCCTGATGGTGGTGTTGCTTAGAGGTGGCAAAATAGGGGGATTTGCTTGAGTTTGAAATGGAATAGAGTCATATGAGTTTGGGTCCAATCTTATCCATATGTGTTTTGGAACTAACTTGGGCTTGGAATGGGTTTAGATTAGTCCCACCCAATACCCAAATCTATTTTTTACATATTTTTTCTTTAATTCATTTTTTATTTTTTATATAACTATAATATTTTTTATTTATTAAATTTCTTTTAGAGTGATTTTATATTTTCATGAATTCATTTTTTCATCAAATGGGGAATGTAATGCAATTTCCGACAAAACCATATTACCATAAAAAATAATCTTTGAGTCAGCAAGTAGCAGCATTGTGTAATCAAATTAGTCCATTGAGCCTGAATAACATTGATTTACACACTAGAATGATCAATAATTGTTTAAAAAAGACGTGACATTTTGATAAGAATGAACATATCTTTTCCCAGGATTAAACCAAAAAAATGAACATTTTGGTTTATTCATACATGAAGTTGACGTTTTCACTTCCTCAAAAGCATGAAAACAAAAAGGCAAAGGAAAATAGCTAACAAGAAAATAAACATGCAAGTGCCTTATACTCAAGATTCCCATCAAAAATTGGATTAACAAATAAAGAAAAAGATATATATACAGCCATATTCCAATAGATATCAAGATGAAAAAGGCAGTTAGGGTGTTGAATATTTATTCTCATCATTGTCCAAGGATGGTATGTCTAAACTCACTGAAATGTTGGAAATTCTTGTGGATAATGACTAGGAAAACTTCTAGATTGTATTCGCTGGTATGACTAGGAAAATTGTTAGAGATATTTTTTGAATAAATTAAATTTTTTGGTGAGCTATTTGGGCCTAACGGGTACCCAAGTATTTCCCAAAATTTCTCATCAATTAATGAGTACAATTGGGATTTGATTCATTTTAAGTCCAATATCAAATTACAATATCGATTCCGCCCAAAATTCCCATGGGTATGGGTAATTCATTGGGACTTGAGACAGATTGCCACCTCTAGGATTGCTCTTTCTGCTGATGTAAATCCGAGTCCTCCTCCTTATGATTGCTGAAATTCATGTGTTGTACTGTTGATAGCTTAGTGACGAATCAAATGACTCAGTATTGGTGTAAATTTTTGGTTTGATCTCATCCGAGGAGCAAAATTAGTCTTATATGTGTTACCAGAAAATGTGAACAAATAATTGATGAGTCTTTCTGTCTTCTTCTTTTCTTTTTTTCCCTTTGGTTCTAATTTTTGTTATCTCATTGACACTAAAATCAAATCAAATAGGCACCGTTTTAGGGAATAATCAGCTGTTTACCACCCCCGACATTTAAAAAAAAAAAAGAAGAAGAAGAAGAAGAAAGGAAAAGAGTCTAATCGTGCGGCGACATTTCTCAGGAAATCATTGATTTGGGCCTTTGTGGCCCATTATGTTCATAGTCTAGACAAGTAGTAGCCCATGAGTGAAGCCTTCTCTTTGTGGATGTTATTTTTTTGGGCTTTAACCGAAACTCATCAAGGCACACTCATGTCTGTGCACTAAAATGGGAGAAAAAATTCATAGAAATTATTTTTGGCGAAATAAATGGAAAAGAAATCAGAAATCATGGAAGCAGTATATAACAAATTTATAAGGGGCGAGAAGAAAACTTTCATGGATAACTTAAGAAGCAGCATGGGTGGAGTGCAATTTGTATAAGAAGTGAAAAATCTCCTTGTGCTTATTTAGATAACCAAATTTTATGATTTCTTCATTTTGATTCAGTTGGGAGCGGATAAGTTGTTTAAATGATTTGTTAAATTTTAAGGTTTCTTTTTAGTCTAATCGGTTCCATTTTACCCCAACAATTAAGGATACGAGTTCAAAAAAGTTATCAAAGCGTGTTAATACCACTATGTGATCTCTTACTTTATATATTAACACACCACTATGTGATCTCTTCCTTTATATATTGTATAGATGTTGCCATGTTGGACCCTATTTTTTTTTTAATTTTAAATATGACTTTAGCAGTGTAGCTATCATTTGACTTTAAAAATTTTGAAAAAATAAGAACTATGACGAGGACATATTAATTATTCTTTTGGGTTTTTACCCTTGAGTGGGGGGCAGGAGGAATCTATCTTCAAACTTCTGACTCTTCATTTATAAGGCAAACCTTGACACAAAAATTATCCCCCAGACGTGACTAATTGTAAGTTGCAACTGTTTAACATTGGCGCATTATTTGATGTATTAGATGCAATGCTTAAAAGTGTTATACATTATGACATCGGGAGCCTGTTGATTCTCATGCTTTCTTCCACATCTTGTACTACTACTAGCAAATTGATATGATTGGCGTATTATATGATGTACGGCTTTACAGTAAATTAAACTCCAGCATACGTATGTTTTATATTGCTGACAATATCTTAAGTTCCCTTTTGATTTGACCCGCTTGATTCCAATTGGCCAGACAGCATGTTGCTGCTGCATTTTTCTTTTTAATTTTTTTTTTAAAAAAAAATTTTAGACAGCATGCTTGTCTTAGCCACTCGTGAATAATTACTAGTAGCAACTTGGGATTTGCACTGGTGACGCTTTAGTCCAGCTCATAATATAATTAAAGAGTGACAATTGATGGAGGAAGAAGCTAGAAACGGGAAAGGATTTAAGAAAAATAAGAACCAGAAGAAAGCTGGCATGTGCAGCTCGCAAAATAATACATACATGTACATTTACATACACGTGTGGGTGTTTGTATATATATCTTTATATATTTCTTCTTTTATATATCTTTATATATCCTTACAGTATATAAGGGGAACTTTTATTTTACTGTGCAAGGCCACTTTCATCTGCTTCTCCAAGGCCTTTTCCGTCAATTTTGTCCTCTCAAGGCTACTTCTCATGTTCGTCTAATGATTTTTGTTCCCTTAATAAATTTCCCTTTTTTATATGCCTTTCTTATCTTATGGATAGGGATTAGCCTTTTTGTCCATTCTTTTGATGTACTTATTGTTCCCTTATTTACCCTTAATAGATCCTTTTTATATGCCTTCCTTATGGATATGGATTGGTCTTTTTTGTCAATTGTTTTGACAAGACTGCTGGGTTAAATCAGCAAACAGTAATTCTAGATACTTCATTCAAATAAACTTCATACGCATATGCTATTGTTTCTCATTCTCGATTAGCTTTCCACTGCTTCGCTTTGCTTGCTTTGCATTCCTGCTACTGGTACTCATCGTTCTCCTCTGTTCTCTTTTATTTTGTTTCATCGTTTTTGTTCCATGAATATTTTCCTCATCGTCTGTTTACTTCTTGCCATCCATCTTTTCCTCATGCATATTTATGTTGCTCGTGTATTTATGTTTTGCATGCATGTGTTTTTTCACCTTACGTTGCCTTTTTTTTGCAGTAGTTCCTCACTACTTTTAGCCATCTTTTGTTGGGTAATAATTTCTCTTCCGTCTTTGACTGCTTTCACTGCAATTTTTTCCACTTTTATGCTTGCATCAACTTTCCTTGCTCTCTCTGCATTCATGCTTTTTTCCCAGACACCATTACCTCCACCTACGCTTGTTTAGTATATTGAGTTAAACGATAGGATGAGTAGTTGTAGCGATAGTCATAAGGTAGCTGCGCAAAAGGCTATATGCAATCAGAGGTTAAGAGAGAAATATGCTATGTTATCGCCTGAGGAGAAAGAATTGCACCGCCTAAAACAGAGAGAGGCGTATCAAAAGAGGAAAGCTAAAAAAAATTCCACTAATTTCACTGATAAAAAACAAACTACCACTGGAGGTACCCTTCAGCTGTGCGATGAAGCCCAACTAACTCTTGATCCAGGTGCAGAAGATATTTCCTCTATTCACTCATTTAAACTTAGTATTATACTATATTAATATATCTGAATTCCACTTTTATGAATATTGATTATTCACTGCAAATATTTTTTGCTCCAAAATACTGATTAAAGACCCTGCCAAGTGTTCTCAACAATGCACTGACGATGCAAATATATCAGCTACGACCAATGTTCATCAGCAACTCCAAGGTGAGATACCTATATATAGTAACAAATGTAGTATTAAGTTGTATGAGCATTTTTCCTATTCTCTAAGATTTTTCTGCTTCTTTAGATAAACAGGAACTTCATCATAACAAATCTTCGCAACAAACTATGCAGTCCCAATTGCAATCTAATGACTTCCTACAAACATCTGTGTTCCAGCCTATAACAAATCAAGGTTAATTTATTCAGTTATTTAATTATTCCATCCTGCATTTCATATTTCTTATTCTCATCTTACATTTGATTATCTGATCATTGATCATATACCTATCATTATGAAATTTATAGTTACTGCAACTATTCCTTTGGAGCCTGCACTACAATGTCTCCACCAATCCTTACAGTCCAATACAGAACGAAATCAAGGTTAATTTTGATAACTACACAAAACTTTTTGTATTTTATAATCATAAATAATTGTTAACTACTTTTATATAGCAGGTGAATCTCCAATCTGCACCAACTGTTATAGCTATATTTCTGATGTTGTGCAAGATACACCAGGTTCCCAATGATGCTTTGAGTGTTTACATTGCTAGCTTCTATTACTTTAACAATCATCTTAACAAAATGTTTCCGTTGCATTCTTTTATGTTCTTGTAGGCATTGCTATGATTCCTTCTCTTAATAAGACCTTACAATCAAATGTCAGAGATGATAATGTTTCTATCAAAGGTCCATTATGCTGTTCATGAAGTTTTTCTTCTACTGTTTCTTTCCTCTGAATAAATTCCTTTATCTGTAAATGTATTCATATATCAATTACTTCTCTTTACCTAACATAATTCTTACCACAGTTGTATCCACTCAGCAACAAAGATCTACTAGATCTCAGAAAAAGAAGATGACAGCTAAAAAATGTATGCAGCATGCTACAAATTTATCAATCCTATTTGTTCTATACTCTTTACTATAGCCTCTTCTTCAACTGACTATATACTATCAGTTACCTTTACCGTTCTGATTCATTAATAATATATATCAGGTCAAACAACAAATGGGACTGAAGCATTGAAATTAATCAGTAATGAACCAGATAAATTGCCTCAGGTTCCTGACTGTCAATACTGCGGCGCTAAAAAATTCCATTCTGAGACACCAAGTTTCTGCTGCTCTGATGGTGAAGTTATACTGCATGAAAACAAATTACCAGACATTTTGGTTGAGCTGTATACGGGAAACACAGAGGATGCAATATCTTTTCGTACATATGCTCGGACATATAATAATATGTTCGCTTTTACTTCTTTTGGAGTTCACTATGACAAGGCCTTATGCAAGAGGACTAATGGCATCTATACATTCAAAATCCAAGGACAGACCTATCACTTCATCAATGAATTGATTCCTCACGGAGGATCTGGCATGTATCTGCAACTTTATTTTCATGACACAGATCATGAATTAGAGAACAGGCTAGCATTTTCAGAGAGAGTCACAATAAACATAGTCTCTAAACTCATGGATGTGATGAAGCAAAATCCTTATGCTTGTTTTTTCCGAAGTTTAAGAAATGTTTCAGATTTAGACTCATATCAGATTATCCTCAGATCACATTCTACTGCTGATCAAAGAATTTACAATAAGCCTAGAGTTTCTCAAATTGCTACTCTATGGATTGAAGGTGAAAATCCAACAGAAGCTTATAGTAGACACATACAAGTATATACAAAAGAAGGCCAGAGTCATCGCGTACAGTATTATTATGGGTGTTACGATCCTCTGCAATATCCTCTCCTATATCCTCTTGGAGAAACAGGCTGGCACCCGGGAATTCAAAGATCAGGAAATGTGAATCCAAAGAAACGTAAAAGAGCAGAAAGCAAGAAAAAATGTACAGTGACATTAAGCAGTTTTACATCACCTGAAGAGCTTTTCACCTCAGAGCAACAAGGTGCATTCTCCTTAGCTATTTTGCACAACTTTACTATCAGCATCAAAATTTTCTCTGAATGCATTTCATATATTTGGTACTCATACTTTAAAACAACCTCTGCAGCTCTTCAGCAACACGAAAATTCAAAGGACTTCGTGTCAATGAGGGAATATTATGCCTACAAGTTTCAGATCAGAAAACAATACATTCCAAATATTCTGAACACCGGCCGCTTACTACAACAATTTGCTGTAGATATGTATGTCAAGCTTGAAACTCAAAGACTTGACTTCTACAGAAGTAAACAATTGCTTATTCGAAGAGAACAACTCCAAGGCTTGATGGACTCTGTAATTCAAGGGCAATCACAAGGTTCTAAAGTAGGCCAGCGTGTACTCTTACCTGCTTCATTTATAGGAGGGCCTCGAGATATGAAGAAGAGATATATGGATGCTATGGCCTTAGTCCAGAAATTTGGAAGGCCTGATTTATTTCTTACTATGACATGTAATCCTTCATGGCCAGAAATTAAGGAAAATATGCTGCCTACTGATGAAGCACAAAACAGAATCGACTTATGTGCTCGGGTATTTCACTCGAAATTGCAAGTGTTAAAGGAAGAGCTATTCAAGAGAGAAATTTTTGGTCAAGTTGCAGCATACACCTACGTTATTGAGTTTCAGAAACGAGGCTTGCCACATGCTCACTTCCTTATTATTCTGAAACCCAATTCAAAGCTATACTCTCCTGATTCTTATGATCGAATAGTCTCTGCTGAACTACCAGATGAAGGTACACAAAAGCATTTGTTTAAAATGGTCCGTAAGCATATGATGCATGGACCTTGTGGTAGTAAAAATCCTAACAATGTCTGCATGCAAGGTCAAAAGGTCAGATTCTGTAAGAACAAGTATCCAAAGCAATGGGCAGATTCTACAACTCACGGACAGAATGCTTATCCGATATATCGCCGAAGAAATGATGGAAAAAAAGTTTATGTTCGAGGTCAAGAACTAGATAACAGATGGGTAGTACCACATAATCCGTACCTATTAACAAAGTTCAATTGCCATATCAATGTTGAAATCTGTTCTACCATCAAAGTTGTCAAATACATGTTCAAGTATATTTTCAAAGGACATGACAAAGTCCATTTTCGAGTCAGCTCAGATATTCCAGAACAATGCATTGATGAAATCAAAGAGTATCAGACAGCAAGATGGGTATCTGGTATTGAAGCTATGTGGCGTATATACAGATTTACTCTCAATGAAATGCATCCTTCTGTTATGAATCTGCAGTTACACTTACAAAATTACCAATCTATGAGCTTCAAGGACAATGAAGACATCAGAGATCTATTGAAAAATCAGTTCAAGAAAAGGACCATGTTAACAGAGTTTTTCCATATGAATGCAACATATGATTTAGCAAAAGCCTTAAAATGCACATACAAGGAGTTTCCTCAACACTTCGTTTGGCATCCAGATAAGAAGTACTGGTCAGCAAGGAAACAAAAGGATTGTATTGGAAGAATTGTTGCAGCAAATCCAAATGAAGGAGAGCGTTATTTTCTGCGGTTGCTCTTAATCAATGTTAAAGGACCAACATCATTTGATGATCTGAAAATGATAGATAATAAATATGCAAACAGCTTCCAGGAAGCAGCAATACTCAGGGGATATTTCGAATCAAACAATGCACAACAGCAATGCCTGGAAGAAGCAGCACTATATCATATGCCTTACACCTTCAGAAGACTTTTTGCCACAATATTAGTACATTTTCCACCAGCAAATCCTAGACAGCTTTGGGAAAATTTCAAAAGATCTCTATCCGAAGATTTTTATCATCAGCCTAATGTGCAAAGTGATCAGATACGACTAAATGTGCTTCATGAAATAAGTAAGTTTTTACAATCAATGGGCAAGAACATCAATACCTACGACTTAGTCCCACGAATTCTGAGGTTGAATCTGGCAGACAGAGAAACAAGAGATACTATGAGTGAAACTCAGATTATTGTCTCAGATGAAGATATTGCATCCATTAGTCGACTAAATATGGAACAGAAACTTGCATTTGATATAATTACAGCTCACGTATACAATAATCACAGAGGATCTTTCTTCTTAGATGGACCAGGAGGGACTGGTAAAACATTTTTATACAAAGCTCTCTTAGCTGATATCAGATCCAAAGGTTTCATAGCATTAGCTACAGCATCAAGCGGAGTTGCAGCATCAATACTTCCTGGAGGACGAACAGCGCATTCGCGCTTCAAAATTCCAATTAATATGGACACAAACAATATGTGTAGTATCAGTAAACAGAGTGCACTAGCAGATTTGCTTCGACAAGCAAAGCTAATAATCTGGGATGAAGCTCCGATGATGCACAAAACAGGAATTGAACGTGTAGACAAATCGCTAAGAGACTTAATGGAGACAGATGAACTTTTTGGAGGGAAAATCATAGTTTTCGGCGGCGATTTTCGTCAGGTACTTCCAGTCATAACAAAAGGATCAAAACCTGACTTTATGCAAGCATGTCTTGTAAATTCCTATATATGGCCTGATTTGCAGAAACTAAAACTCAAAGAAAATATGAGAGCTATTGCTGATCCCAATTTTACTGATTATTTACTTCGTGTAGGAAATGGAGCTGAATCTTTTGTCAACAACAACAATATTCAAATTCCTCAAGACCTGCTCATACCATACACCACTGAAGAGCAATCACTCAACACCTTAATTCATGCAGTATTTCCAGACTTGAAAAGTTGCTCAAAAGAAGATTATTCATGGACGAATCGAGCAATTCTTACAACTAAAAATGACTTTGTCGACGACATCAACAATGCATTGATACAAGAATTTTCAGGGAATTCTTTTGAATACATTAGCAGAGATAAAATAGCAGACACTTCTCAACAGGCTATCCTAGAAGACTTTGTTAACAGCCTTACACCAAATGGTTTCCCTCCGCACAAAATACTACTAAAACCAAACTCTCCGATCATGTTACTCAGAAACATAGATCCTCCAGAAGGCCTCTGCAATGGTACAAGGCTCATATGTAGATCTCTGCGACCAAATATAATAGAGGCAATCATCAGCTCTGGTGAATTCAGAGGAAAAGAAGTTTTCCTGCACAGAATATGTTTCAAATCAGATAGTGACCCAGACTGTCTTATAGCTTTTGAAAGAATGCAATTTCCAGTTCGTTTATGCTTCGCCATGACAATAAATAAAGCTCAGGATCAGACCTTAGATTATGTTGGGATTTACCTTCGTGAACCAGTCTTCTCTCACGGCCAACTCTACGTAGCTCTTTCTAGAGCTAGAAACAGCAAATCTGTGAAAATGTTGATCAAGCCTTCTCTTTCTGATCTCAGCTTGGATAATATTACGCCTAACATAGTTTATACTGAAATTTTAGAAGCAGCACAGCTCTAATACTTCATCAATAGTTTCATCCTTGCATTTTTCCAACAGCATTTTTTTCCTATCATTGACATTAACTTATCATACCTGTCACATCTTCTTTACTCTTACTCTCAGCTAATTATTATCTGCATTTCACTCATCGCACATAATCCACAGTATATAATTCTAATCTGTTTTGATACTGAAACTCTCCGCAGATTGTGACCAATGAACTTCATAACCTTTGATCGCCTGCTCCCTGGAATCAAGAATTGGGCAGTTACCGTTCAAGTCATCGACAAACAAAAACCTCAGGTATCAAAAAAAGGAAGGAGGTATCTCAAATTACTTCTGGCCGACGAGAAGGTACATCACCCCCAAAACTACAGCTTTAAGACTCAACTTACAACTGTTACATACATAATACTCATATTACTGCATTAATTAGGCAAACAAGATTGATGCTCTCATCTATGGCTCAGACATCGACTTCTTCAGAAATCACTTTCAGATTTATAGGCGATTTGTAGTATCAAATGCAAGGCTTCAGTATGCAGATGATCCCTTAACTCTTGAGCAAAAAACATGCACTATGATTATTGATAACTCGACTATCGTTGAGCCTCTAGATGAACAGCAACCACCACTTCTTCCACCACTCTACCAATTCACTCCATTCAAAAAGCTGTGTCATCACATTGACACTAATTCTGATTTAGGTAATATTTTCTATTTCAACAATAATAATTATAATTATATGTCTTCAATAAACTCTCATAAAACTAAATGCAGATGTGATTGGTATTGTTGTCCACGTCAATCCACAATCAACCAAAGGAGCAACTCCAATCAGAGACATTGTACTCACAGATCAAAGGTATGATACCAAAACTAATTTTAAGTTACCCACAAGTCCATCGCAATTACTAACAAAGAGGTTTCTTGTATCAGTTCAATGGCAATCATCCTTACACTCTGGGGAGAGCATGCAACAGACGAAGGACAAATAATTGCTGAAACAATTCACACTCAGCCATTAATTGCAGCTCTCAGAGTTAAGGCGACATCATATGGTAGTAAGAACTTTTAAACCCTTAGTTAGCAGAATACAAAATTACATTAACATATCTTAACCAAAGCAAACAAACATAATTGCAGCTATAACTCTTTCGACAAAATTTGCTTCCTGCATCCTAATCAACCCACCACTACAAGAAGGTCCACCTCTGAGGCAATGGTAAGCACTCAATAAACTAATAAAATACATTTCAACCACAGCTCACAATACTAATACTAGCACATAAACTACAACAACAGGGCAGCTAAAAATAATGAGGCAATCACCAAAGCCATTACTGAAAAAACATATGAAAACCCATTGGAACTTCTTCCACCACCAGATGCAGAAGACATAACCCACATAGGTGCCATCGTGACTGCTCCACAGGTAAACATTAAGTCATACACATTTCTACAAATTATCTGATTATGTCATTCAAATTTCTGCAAAAACTAATTAAATTACTATTCCCTTTCTTATAGAAAAAAGCATTCTGGATACAAGGAACACCCAAACTTCTGGACAGAAGCCAAAAACTCTGGTATCATGCTTGCCCTTTCTGTCACAAATCCATTCGCAGCACACCTGAGTATAAAATCACCTGTCTCTCCTGTCACCGTCGTATCCATGTTGTAGCAAGGTAATGTATGTGACATTTAACTCTTAACTAACAACTAATCATTTATCTAATCAAATCACTCTTATATCTATCAGACCAAGAATAACTGTTGATTTCACGGATTGGAGTGGTAACATTACACTTGATCTATATGGAAAAGATGCTCAGCAGCTCTTGCCATATAAAATCTCAGAAATTCAGCAACAAGAATCGGAGGTAATTATCACAACTATGACTTTCCCCTACAAATCAAGTTTAGCTAATCATTACACAGTACACAATAAATCATCTGAATAACGTATGTTACACAACTGCAGAATAACATTCCTTATAGAGCTATAGAAGAATGCATCAGCGACAACACCATTATCTGCTTCATAAAAAAGGCACCTTATAGCTATGAGCCTTCTGCAACTCAAAAATACACAGCTATAGTTGCTCACAAGATCTATCTAGCTGAACAAGGTAGCAGACTGACAGGAGCAGCAGGAAGCAGCAGCGCTTAAAAATACACAAAAGGAACAAGTGCAGAGGACGAAGAAGAACCAATGGACATTGAAAACGAAGAAGACACTGCAACACTATCACTCACACCAAGTAACAGAGCACAAGGATCCACAAAAGCTAAGATTGATGACTGCCTCTTGACTTCACTCAAAATAACAGAAAGTCCACCAAAAAAACAGCGAACTGCAAGATCAGATGATGAAGATTAGTCTCAGTAAGCTTCGCACAACAACTTTTGCTTTTGCGACCAACATAACGCAAATGTAGTGTGGATTCCATCTACACCACTAACTATGCCTATTATCACTTTTGTAAAAGGCATGTAAAAAGACAACTTTTATGTACATATTCAACTCTTTTGATGGTAGATAAACTACCAACCAGTCTAAACTCAGATTGGTTGGACTACAATCTACCAAAAACAGAAAACCTATAATATAAGCGTGTTAATATACTCATTGTCCATATTCATATACCTCAACAAATTTAACCACAATAACCTCTCAATTTTCATGACCAATTATTCCTCATAATCAAACGAACGCAGACCACCCCCAGGCACCACCCGCGCCTTGCGCGGGGAAAACCACCTAGTATATATATAATATAATATATAAGAAGGCGTTTTGGGTTCCTGTTCATTGGGCATTTTTGTCCTTCAAATTTCATCTGCCGCAAGCTTTAGCCGAATGTTGTAGAACACGTTTTGGGTTCCCGTACGCAGCTATCCTCCCACAACCTTCAAAAATACCCTTGTAAGTTACACTATAGAAGACGTTTGAAAATTACTGTTCATTGCAATTTTCATCTGCTCTCCTCTGTGGCATTTTTGTCATTTCAACTAACCATCACGCAGCCTGTCATGCTGGCTGTACTGCAACCTTTTGAATGTCCATTGAGCCAGATTACGGTTTGATCTACAGTTTTTTTCATCTGTCTTGAAAAGGATATTTTGGTAATTAGGTGACAATCACAAAAACTGTGTTGACAATAATAACCCAAAATATGCCTTTTGTGTGGTGTGTAGACAACCATCTCCAGGTCAGGATCGTCCTTTTAGCCCAAAAAGAGTTTCCAGCCCTCTAAGGATAATTCCCCGCCTCCTTATTAGCCTCCATCTCTATCTTCTTCTTTTTATTTTCTCGTTCCATTTTCTCCCTTGTCTCTTTGTTCATCAAGCTCTGCTCTCTCTCTGTTTCTCTGGTCCCTCTTCTTCGATAGTATAGATCGATAAAATATTTTGATACACAATGGATATACCGTTGATTAATCTTTCTTGAAAAAGGTCCGGTTGAAAAGGAAGTCTTGAGGGGTTTTTGCTGCTCAGAAGGTTCCTATGGCCGCAGCTAAGAAAACCCCAGCTCCTGCAGCTGCTCGGCAGCAGCAATCCAAGCCGGCGGCTAAGCTTCCTTCGAAGCCGCTCCCCCCAGCTCAAGCTGGTTAGCTTTCCTTTTTCCTTTCTCTATCCTTTTTTTATTTCTTCCCTTTTGTTGAAGCGGATGATTTGTAGATTAGATTGTTCAGGGAGATTTGTAGGCAAAATAGCTGGTAGATTTGAGGTGGGTTATGGAGCTCACCTACTTTAAACTAATTTTGTTTAGCGGGCAAATCTTCCATGCACAGTTTTGGCCTGTATGAAAGATGGGCGTTGGAGAACTTGTAGAAGTGACTAATGGTACTCAAGACTTGTAGTGTATGCCTAACTTGCAGGGCAATTTATGAAACCAAACCTGCTATTTCTGCAGTAGCAGAATACATATGAACAATAAATAAAGAATTGAGCTTAGAATGGAATTGTGATGATCAAGATGCATCTGCCATTAGTTGCTAATTCCTGCATATAATCAGAACAGTGGTTAAAAAGAACAAAAAGAAAATGAATTTTGGGCAAAAACTAATGGGCCTGCATCAAAGCTCAAAAACCGTGACAAAGTTACAAGGTAGGGATGCCAATTTAAACTTCTGACAATGGTAAGAGATGACTAATTGGTTCAAGGAGATCAATTTATGTTTATCTTCTCAGACAAGGGAAAAGGGCAAAAAGAAAAAACTGTAGACATTTCTTATGCATTCGGCATTTGCTGTTCCAAAAAAGAAAAAAGAAACATGGATTGCTACGTAAATATTTTTAGTTCTAATTCAGCCCCAGTTATATAGAATATGGCTTATAGTTTATAAGATAATATTAAGTGGAGCATTAAAATGCTTATTTTACAGATTTATAACACTATAGTTGACGAGGGCTTAGCTTAATGGTTAAAATTGAAACCTCTATCCGCTTTTTAAATCACACTTCTCCCCCGTGTTAATAATATACATATACTAATTGAAAGTTGAAACTTATAACTAATTGCATGAACTGTTGAGAAAAGCATGGAAAATCATTCAAAACATCCTTTACATTTTAGCAAATGATTTTTTTCATCCCTTATTTTAAAATACTGAACTTTACATTTCTTACAAAATCAAGTCGATCAATTTTGATCCCTAGGTTTCCAACTAAGTTTTGGCCTAAGTTCATCTTGTGACCTATACGTAATCATTGTTTTAGGGACAAAAAGATTAAAACTCATATTTTTAAGGGCAAAAAATGGATGTGAGTTGGGTAATTTATTTAGCTACAAATCCTTTTTAGGAGCAAAAATGAATGCGGGTTGAGCAATTTGTTTAACTACAAATATCTGACCTTTTTGCACACAAAAATGACTATATATGGGTCATATGGTGTATTGAAGTTAAAAAGTGATCAGAAACCTAGGCTTGAACCAAATTTGAAGTTAGCATTTTAAAATTTAGGGATGAAAAATTTATTTTAGTAAAATGTAAAAGATGTTTTGAATGATT